GGGCTCCCCTGTCCCCGCACTGCACGGGCTCCTGTCACCCCCCCGCACTGCACGGCCGCCCCTGCCCCCCGCCCTGCAGGGCTCCCCGGCCCCGCTGCCCCCCGGCTCGGGCAGTGCCCAGGGCTCTGTCCAACCCCCCCAAACATCAACCGCCCCTTCCCCTCCAGTGTCTGTCGTTTCCAACAGCGGCAGTGACCGGGGTGACCCCGGGACGTGGGGCCCCAGGGAGGGGCGGGGCCGGGGGCACAGGGTGACACCCCCTGTGCGGCACAGGGTGGCCGGGGGCACCAGGGCCGGGGGGCACAGGGTGACACCCCATGTGCCGCACGGGGGGTGCCGGGGGACACGGTGCTCAGGGCGCTGCCCCCCCACACACACACCGTGACCCTGCCCTCAGCCCCACATCCCCCCTTCACCCCCTGCATGACCCCCTGGACCCTTCCCCAGCCTCCAGGTCCCCCCTTGACCCCTGCAGGACCCTCTCCCAGACCCCTCCTCACTCCCCGTGTCCCCCCAGTAACACCCCGTGTGACCCTCCCAGTCCCTTCCCCAACCTCCAGGTCCCCCAGCACCCCCTGTGTGACCCCCTGGATCCCTCACCCCTTGTGTCCCCCCACAACCATCTGTGTGACCCTCCGGGACCCCTCCTCACCCGCTGCGTCCCCCTGAGACGCCCTGTGTGATCCATCCAGACCCCTCCTCATCCCCAATAACCTCGTGTGATCCCCTGGACTCCTCACCCCTGTGACTCCCTGAGTGACCCCCAGGACCCTCCTCACCCCGTGTCCCCCCACATCCCCCATGTGACCCCCAGGACCCCTCCTCACCCCCTGTGTCCCCCCACATGCCCTCATGTGACCCCCCGGAGCCTCCTCACCCAGTCTCCCCCCACATGCCCCCCAGGACCCCCCATTACCCCTGCTCTCCCCCATGTCCCCCCGCCAGCCCCCGGCCTGCGCCAGCGCCCAGCGCCGATGCCCGCACGGTGCCCAGGTCCTGCCAGCCCCACTGCGGCTGCCCAGGCGGCGGCTGCGGCGCCTGCCCCACGGTGCCAGCCCCACATCCCTGCCCGGTGCAGGCGCATGGCCCCTGGCCCGGCACCCGCCGCCGCTCACCGGGGAGCGCAGGAGGAAATCCATGGAGCGGTGCGGCGGGCCGGCAGCGCCGTGCGGACGGTGCCGGCCCCGTCACGTGCCCCGCGCTGGGACGGGCCCGTGGCACCGGGCAGCCCCAGGGGTTAATCATTAACGGCGCGGGCGATGGCAGAGCTCAGGAGTGCGGCAGCATCCCCGGGCGCGGGCATGGATGGGTGCCCGCCGCGCTGCTCACACCCGCAGCGTCCGCGAGGGCGGCCAGGCCGCGGCCGGCGCCGCCCTGCCCCACACTGCCCTGCCCCACACTGCCCTGCCCCGGGAGCCACAGCCCTGCCCCATGGCCATGCACTGGTGTTGCAGCCCTGCAGCCCTGCCCCATGGCCATGTATTGGGGCTGCAGCCCTGCCCCATGGCCATGCACCGGGGCTGCAGCCCTGCAGCCCTGCCCCATGGCCATGTGCTGGGGCCAGGGCCCTGCCCCATGGCCATGCACCGGCGCTGCAGCCCTGCCCCATGGCCATGCACTGGCCCGCAGCCCTGCCCTATAGGCTGCACTGGCACTGCAGCCCTGCAGCCCTGCCCCTTGGGCTGCACTGGCACTGCAGCCCTGCCCCAGCGCTCATCCGCGCCCCGGTGCCCGTGTTGCAGGTGCCGCCTGTGCGTGCCCGCGCTGGCACTTACGCTGGCGAAGGCGGAGGACACGATGTGGTGGATCTCGGAGGACACCGGCGAGCGGCTCATGGTGTGGCAGGGGCCGGCGTGGCCCGCTCGGCCCGGCTCCTTCCCGCGGCGCTCAGGGGCCGGGGCCGCATAACCTGGGAGCAGAGAGGAGCGGCTGAGCCGGCGCGGCCGGCAGGGACAGCAGAGGTGCGGGCTGCGCCGGGCCCGGCTCCAGCGCCGTTTGTCTTGGCCCCGGCGCCGAGCGGGGCCGCGGCGAGGGCAGCCAGAGCAGCGCCGGGATGGGGTGGGATGGGGCCGGGATGGGGCACCGCACCCAGCACCCCGCGTCAGCCCTGGGCCGTTGACCCCATGGCATCCCGGTCCCATCCCAGCCCCGTGCAGCCCGCGCACCTGCCCTGGGCCCGTCCCTGCTCCGGGCCGGCCCGCCCGCCGCCGCCCAGCGTTTATGGTGGCGGGAGGGCCACGTGACGCCGGGCCGGTGCGTGACTGCGCCTCATGCGCCTTACTCACCCGCCCCCCACGGCACCCTGCCCCCCCGGCCCGGCCTGCCCCGCACGGAGGCTCCGCGGAGCCGGCGGCCACGCAGAGCCGGCGGCTCCCGGACGCCCCCAGCACCCGTGCCTCCTGGCACGGGGGAGCCGCCAGCCCTGAGCCGGCCCTTTCCGCGACTGGGGCTTTCCAGAGGATGGGAATTTCCAGCACCGCTGCCCCGCAGCCTTGGCCAGCTCAGGGCTTGGATGCTGGCGGTGCAGCACAGCATGGCATGGCAAGGTGCAGCACGGTGCAGCCTGGTGTGGAACAATGCAGCACAGCATGGTGCAACCCGGCAAGGTGCAGCCTGGTATGCAATGACGCAGCACAGCATGGGGCAACCTGGCAACGTGTATCCTGCCTTGGAACGATGCAGCCTGGTATGCTGCAGTCTGGCATGGAACAGTGCGTCATGTTGCAGTGCAGCAGTGCATGGAATAGTGCAACATGACATGACGTGGTACGGCACAGCATGATGCAGCCCAGCACAATGCAGCGTGGCATGGAGCGGTGCGGCATGGTGCAGCACAACCTGGCACCATGCAGCACAGTGCAGTGCAGCACGGCACGGCACAGTGCGTTGCAGATAAGGCCCAGCCAGTGCACATGGAGCTGGCACATGCCGATGCCTCCGCAGATCCCTGGGAAGGGGAGAGCCCAAGCCCCAAGCAGCGGTTCCCGCTCCCCGTTAGCCGCACGGAGCGGCCAGGCCCCCGTGTGCCTGCGGTGGTGCCAGCGCCTCGGGCACCGTGGCCCGGGGCTCCCTCACAGCAGCCACTTGGCTCAGCACTGCCCGGCTCCGGCTGCTCCCTAATCCGCGCAGCCCGGCCGTGGCCGGAGCCAGAACTTCCACATTCCAGCGAGCGAGCGCGGATTAGGCGCCGTGCCGCTCTCCCGGGGCGCCCGCCAAGCCGCAGCCCGCGGCCGCCGCTCCCCTGTGCTGCCCGATGGCCAGGCGCGGGACGGTGCCGCACGTGACAACCGGGGACGGGATGCGTGGATGGGATGGACGGGGCGGATGGGGAGCGCCGACTTGTCCACGCCAGCCCCAGGCACCGTGCGCCGGGTGAAGGCAGTCCCGGGCACTGCTTGCCGAGCGGAGATGGCAGTCCCGGGCACCACGGGCTGAGCCGGGCCAAGCCAGCCCTGGCACCGCGTGCCCAGCCGGGTCAGGCTGGTCCCGGGCACCGCGTGCCAAGTGGGTTGAGCCAACCCTGGGCACCGCGTGCCGAGCCAGGTCGGGCTGGTCCCAGGCAATGGGTGCCGAGGCAGGTCGGGCTGGTCCCGGGCATCCTGTGCTGAGGTGGGTCGGGCTGGTCCTGGGCACCCCGTGCCAAGCTGGGCTGGGTGGACATGGCCATGAGCCACGTCCCCGCTGGTGGCACCCACAGCAGCCCCAGCAGCCATAGGGACTGTATGGGATGACCTGGCAGCTCTGCCCGTTCTTGTCAAACCCAGGCCCGGGTGCAGCAGGACCAGGGCCCGTATGGAGTGCCCTGTCCCCAGTGGGGCACGTGGGGACCCCGCGCTCCGCCGGTGCTGCCCCGCGGCCTCCCCTGCCCGGCCCTAAGCGGCTCCGTGCGTCTAATCCCGGCCGCGGCGGGCAGGGCTTAGTGCTGCGAACACATCTGGGATTGTTCTCCGGGCAGCGGGGCTGGGCAGCGGCCCCGCGCCGCTCGGCGGCTGCCGGTGCCCGCGGGCGGCCGAGCTGCCGGGGCCGCGGCGCCCTCGCGGCGGCCCCCGGCCGGGCCCCGCTGGAAACGGTGACGCGGCGGCGGGTGCCGGCACTTCTGCTTTCCGAGCGCGCGGCTGAGTCACCGCCGGGGACGGCCGGGCGGCTGGAAGCGGCGCCCGGAAACGGCGCCCGCGAGCGCGGCCCGAGGCGGGAGCGGCCGTCCCGGCCGCGGCAGCCGGAGCCCCATCCCGGAGCGGGTCCCGAGGGCGCCGCGGCCCGCGGGAGCCTCCCCCGGGCAGGAGGATGTTTGAGTAACTGATCCCCGTAATCTAGGGCGATTAGCGGCTTCCCGACGTGGGGCCGCCCCGCTGTGCAGCCGGGGGGCGCATCCCGGCCCGGATAACCCGCCGGGACCGGCGGCCCGGCGCTCCCCGAGCCGGGCACGGGGCCCCTTGCCCACGTCTGTCCCGCCCTGCCCGCCGGCTGCCCCTCGACGAGGCCGCAGAGCTGCTGGCGGGGCCGGTGCAGGTGCCGGTGCCGCGGCCCCGTCCCGGGAGCAGCCCCGCGCAGACGGGCAGGGCCGGGCGCGGGCCGGGCGCCCCGCGCGCTGCCGCATTCCTGGGCCAGCCCCGGCCTGCCCGCCTCATCCCGCCTAAGACGCTTACGGGGCAGCGCGGCCGGCACCACACCCGGAGCCAGCGCCGCGGGGACCCCGGGGGGCCGGGGCTGCTCTGCGGCCCTGCCCCGCACCGAGGGGTCGCGGCGCTGGCACCGGCCGTGCCCCGCACCGGGGGGCCGCGGCGCTGGCACCGGCACCGCTGCGGAACCGGAGCGCGGTCGTCTCGCGCTCTGCACCGCGGGCAGCCGCTCCCGCCCCGCGCACGCGACCCGCGCCCAGCGGCTCCCTAACCGAGTGGCCACCCGGGCATCGCCTGTGTGACAGGGACATCGCCAGCTCCAGCACCTGCTGTTCCCCCGGGGGGCAGCGGGGAGCCCCGCAGGGTGGCACGGGGCGAGGACGGGCCAGGATCGGCTGTGCCGGGGCTCCCCGACGGCTCCGTGTCGCTGACCTGTCCCCGCCGCCGCCTCCCCGCGCCCGTGGAGAGGCCGGAGCTCCCCGGGCACGGGGCATCCCCGCGCCAAGGCGCCCGCAAACCGGCGCTGCGGGGAGGAGCCGCAGGGGCCCTTCGCAAGGGGCCCGGAAGGAAGCGCTGCCCGCACGGGGCCCCCGCGGCGGCGGCAGAGCTGCCACCGGGCTGTGGGCACGGAGCCGCGGCTCGCACCGGGGCAGGGACCCCGCCGCACGGCCCCGGTCCCGGCAGGAGCCGGCGCTGACCTCCGCTCAGCTCCTCATTCCGGACATTCCTCGAGGCTCCTGTGTGCCAGGACGGGCGCCAAGGGGAGCCGGGTGGGAAGGGGGGCACGTGCCAGGGCCCTTCCCTTCGCTGCCCCGCGGAGCCGCCGCCGCCGGCACCCGCCGCGCTCCCCGCCCGGGGCCGCTGCCCTCACCGTGGTCTCGCGCCGCCGCCGCCGCTTTGCTCAACCCGGCAACGCTGGAAGTGGCCACGGAAAACATCCTCCCCCCGCTGCCCACGGTGACCTCGGGACAACCGGATCCGGGGGATGAATCACGGCGCTGCGCTGCGCGCGCGGTGCCACCGCCGCGACCCGGCGGCGGGGACACTGTGCACAGGGGAGCCCCGGCCCCACGGACCCCACCGGGCAGCGCGTCCCACCGCCCTGCGGCGGCACCGGAGCCGCCAGCTCCGCTGTCACCCCACAGCGGGTCCCGCACCGGCCCCGGAGCCCCCCGCTCCGTGCGGGGAGCGGCAGCCCGGAGCCCTCGGGCAGCTCCCCGCGCGCCGCTCCCGGGGCCCGCGGTCCCGGCACTCACCCCATGGCGCCGCGATCCCGCTCCGCTCGGGCCCCGGCAGCGGCGGGAGCGAAGCGGCGCCCCGGGCGCTGCCGCCGCGGGGCCGCTCGCGCTCCGTGCCCGGCGGGGCTGGCGCCGCGCGCGCTCGGAGCTTTTATAGCGGCGCGAAAGAAAAAACGCGGCGGCGGCAGCGGGGCGCTTTGTCTCGGCAGGCCTGCAGCGGGCCACTTTATCCAAACAGAGCGCGGTGCCAAGTCCCCGGAGCGGCTCCTCCGGCAGCCCCACCTCCGCGCGGCCCCGCTGGGCACGGGGCGGCGAGAGCCCGCGCCGGCCGGGGGGAGGCACGGGGACACGGGCTGCGCGGGGACCCCGGGACACGCTGTGCGGGGAGCCCGGGACACGGGGATGAGCGGGGACCCCGGGACACGCTGTGCGGGGAGCCCGGGACACGGGGATGAGCGGGGACCCCGGGACACGGGGCTGAGCGAGGGCCCCGGGACACGGGGCTGAGCGAGGGCCCCGGGACACGCTCTGCGGGAACTCCGGGTCATGGGGCTGAGCTGGGACTCCGGGACACGGAGATGAGCGGGGACCCCGGGACACGCTGTGCGGGGAGCCCGGGACATGGGGCTGAGAGGGGATCCCGGGATAAAGGGCTGCACAGGGACCCCGGAACACGCTCCAGGCTCTGTGGGAAGCCAGGGACACGGGGCCGCAGACGGATGCCGGGACACGCTCCAGGCTGTGCAGGGACCCCAGGACAAGGGGCTGAGCATGGATCTTGGAACACGGGGCTGTGCAGGGATCCCGGGATACGCTGCACAGGGGCCCCATGACAGGTTGCACACGGGCCCCGGGACAGGGGGCTATGTGGGGACCTCGGGACAGGCTGCGCGGGGACCCTGGGACACGGAGCTATGCCGGGTCCTCGGAATAAGCTGTACAGGGACCCTGGGACAGGGGCTGTGCGGAAACGTCGGG